TAAAGACCTAAAAGTTCTACCTCTGGAAAAGGAAACCCTCCTTCAATATGCAGACGACATTCTGATTGCCAGCCCTACTAAGGAGACCTCTGAACTACCAAGCCAATAAAGGATGGAAGTTGTCCAAGAAAAAGCTCAAATATCACAGACTAAGGTGACCTGCCTGGGCTTCATTCTCACAGAAGGTCGGAGAAGCCCATCCCAGGAAAGGGAAGAAACCATTTGCAGCCTTACCCATTTCTAAAACTTGAAGGCAGCTTAGGGGCTCCTGGGGAGGCCGGGGTTTGCTGCATCTGGATCCCTAACTACAGTCTAATAGCTGGGCCTCTATATGAAACACTGAGAGGAAAAGATGATGATCCTTTCGAATAGAATCCAGAAGCGGCCTTTCAAGAATGCAAAGAGCAGTCAATTCAGACCCTTGCCCTGGAACTCCCTAATTTAGCTAAACCCTTTGAACTTTACATCCCCATAGAATGTGAATCGCCCTTGGAGTATTAGTGCAAAAACTGAGACCACTTGAAATGGAACAACGCAAGAATGCCCTCCAGGTAGGATAAACTACGGTCACCAATGGATTGGCCCACCGCCACATCCGGCCAGGGTACTGGGGGTATCTAAAAACCTGGAAATCAGCAGCCCGCAAATCCAGCTCCCTCCTAAGGGAAAAGGAACCCAGGTGGTGATCCTAACCACCCACCATGCCCTGAAGTTGCAGGGGTCGCTCCGTGGGCACACTGACCTTGAGTGAGGAGGCCCTCCAACTCCAACCTCCAGAGAGACAACCGGGGGCAACGGGCCCCCATGACGATTCGTGTGACCATCACTTGATCTGGAGTATCTCTCAGAAAACAGAAGTGTGCCCCCAAAGAGTAGACTACTGCTTGCAGGACTTACTGCACCCAGAGGGGAGCTAATAAGCTTGGCGGGGGAACCGTATGTTACGCTGTCACCATAGAAAAGCCTACAGACACCGCGGTGACGGCGGCCAGTGAGACCGGTGGACTCCCGGCTACTTCAAAAGGCCGTTGACTCGGTGGCCGTCCCGGCCCTGGATCACCACCGGCCCTGGACTGTCTGGGAGTTGAGTGGGCAGGACTCTGACACCTGGTGCTGTTTGCACGTTAATTCAGGGGCCTAATTGAAGAAAGCTCAGACTACCGGTCAGAGCATCCAGGCTGGCAGAAACCGTCAGCCTAAGGTGGCCGAACAAATGTGGGGCGGGGTAAAAACCGGCCCCCCAGCCTCTCTGCCCATCTCTTTCCTGGACCCTTAAAGGTCATTAGAATCTATAACACTTCCAATGCTGGCGCTCAGGCGGACGAGCAGCGAGGCAGGAGGCCTGGGGACAATCAACCTCACCCGGAGGCTGCTGGGGAGAAGTTCTGCCCCTCGCCCCCGGGTATGAGGACTCCCAACTCAGCACTCAGCAGTTACAGAAGAGGGGTCTGCACCCACAGCGCCCCAAGAATGAGGAATGGGACAAAAGGCAGAGGAGGGGTTTGTCACCGCCAAAGCCCATGAAAAATTCCTGGGAGATAAAAATGGAATCTGGGCAATAAAATAAAGTCTAACCTATTTTTCCTTTGTGCTTTGTCTAATTTCACTTGCTCCTAGGGTTCCACATGCAGAGGTCCCACACCCGGCACTTCAGACCCGATTTCCTAGTGCAGAATGGCTGGGTCGACACCTCAGCTCGCGGGGCCCCGTGCAGACTCCGCGACATAGAGCCTGAGCTCCAGCCAACCCGACCCTCGAGAGCTCCGCCCCCTCCCTCCCGCTGACGCTGCCGGGATCCCAACACAGCAGCCCCGCCCACAGCCCGCGGGGGAGCGCATGCTCTCGCCTGTCCATTCTCTGATCAAAATATAAAGTTTGGGCTTCCCTGGTGGCGCAGTGGTTGAGAGTCTACCTGTCGATGCAGGGGTCGTGGGTTCGTTCCCCGGTCCGGGAGGATCCCACATGCCGCGGAGCGGCTGGGCCCGTGAGCCATGGCCGCTGAGCCTGTGCGTCCAGAGCCTGTGCTCCGCAACGGGAGAGGCCACAGCAGTGAGAGGCCCGCCTACCGCAAAAAATAAAAATAAAAATAAAGTTTTCCTTTGCTTCTGAACCAAACTCAGTCTCGTTCTGTTGGCTCCAATGACACTGGGCAGGGGGACCCTTGTTGGGGCCCACTCTGGAGGATCAGTAACAGAATTTGAGAACATTGTAACTTGAGTGAACAGATGTGTGAACCAAACTGTAATGAACGTAGAGCAGTGTATAAGGCTCGGGTAAAATAAGATGTTTCTAACACTTCCATTTGATATTTCCATCACTTGATTATAAGCAAGTTCAGTGGAGGGTTATTGTCTTACTTGTCAGGTCAAGTTTAGAGAAATTAAGTGATTTTTTTCCAAGGCTGTACATCTAATAATCTTGGCTGAAGCTTCAATCTTCTTTTGAATGTTTTTCCACTGAAAATGATACCTCTCTTTCAGCTCCCCCATTTCTGAGGAATATAAAATCTTATAACTTATTGTTACCAAAGGCAGGGGGAGGGATAAATTAAGAGTTTGGGATTAACACATACACACTGTTATTTATAAAATAGATAATCAACGAGGACCTACTGTATAGCACAGGGAACTACAGTCAATATTTTGTAATAACCTATAAGGGGAAAGAATCTGAAAAAGAATAGATATCTATATCTACATCATCTATCAACGCCAGATAAAATGTAACCTAAGGGAGGCCGACGGTGACCGCTTCTGACCCTCAAGACTTCAATCATCTAAAGCTTGGACTCTGCCTACTGCCCAAGGCCCTCCATGAACATGCATGTACCCAGAGCTTAAAACTTCCCCAGTATGGGGGTTTGGGGAGACACTGTTTTGACAAGATCCCTGGTGTTCTCCTTACTTGCTGCAAGTAATAAATCCCTCCTGCTCCCAATCTTTGGCTGGGTTGTGTCTTCTGGCTCGACACCCACCAAGAGGCAAACCCAGTTTTCTGGTAACCTCTCTCCATCCAGATCCCCAACCAGCACTCGTGGTCCCACCTTGACAATAATTCTACACTCAGTTGTTTTGCTTCCAATACATGGAAATCATGTTACGTTTCTGTGACCAAAGCTAGGTAAGGGGCAGAAACACTCTCCCCATTTTATCTTGTGAAGCCCCCTCTGCAGATCCATTGTCCTCGAATAGGACGCCTCACTTTAATGGAAAACACTTGCAGGGCTTTTTGGTTTTATTTATATCTCATTTCCGAAGCCTTTTTAGACCTACGTTGCTTAAACATACAGATTACTCCTAAATGCCACTTCCACTTTGAGATTTAAAATTCTCCCAGTGTTTTTTCTAATATACTTATTATTCCATTTGTTGCGTTTAAGTCTTTGACCGTATGTTGTTTATTTTGTGTCTCATCAGATTTTAGGTAATTACCTAGTTTTCCCCTGAATAAAGCAATACTCATCCCAAACAGTTCTTGCCAAAACTGGATTTTACAAGGAAGGGGACAGGTGGGCCTAGGAGAAGGTTCGGGAGCACGACTACAGTCCGGTGGAGCAAAGACCCTTGTTCAGGGCACTGGACGGTCACGTCCACCCTAAAGACCCACCGCCCGCTTGAGGCTCCAGGATTAAGACGGGCTGCCTGACGGCGGGCGGAAAAAACAGTCAGGGGAAACCGCTAAGCTCCTCCTGCGCGCTGGAGGCTTCCTTTCAGACACGCGCGGGACCCAGAGCAGCCAATCCCCGAGCGGTGGGGCGGGACCTTCTGCGCGCTCCGCACCCTCCCGGCCGCCTATTGGCGGGACCGCTTCTGTCGCAGCACCGATTGGTGGCTTGCGCCTGACGGGGCTTTGCAAGCCGGCTCCGCGCCCTTCGCTTCGCCTCAGCTCAGGAATTCGCGAAGCTGCAGGAGGTGGAACGCGCGCCGGGCCGGGGTGGGCCATGTGAGAGGACGGCGGGGAGACTGACGGGAACTGCGAAACCCTTATAAACCCTCAGCCCGAGGCCTTCAAATTCCAGGCTGGGAGGCCCCATATCCCCTCACCCTGAGGGGCTCCAAATCCTGTCAGCTTGGAGGGACCCCCGGGTCCTAACCTGAGGGACCTCACATCTCCTCAGCTTCAGGGACCCAAAGTCCCTTCACCCACAGAAACACCAAATCCCCTGATGCTTAGACCCCCCCCCCAAATACCTGGAGTAACCCCTAGAGGTTAGGCGCCCTAAAAATAGCACCCGCAGAGAGGCCAAATTTCCCTACCCTCAGAGGCACTGACTACCCTCAGCCCGGGAACTCTTAACCCCTTCATCCTCAAAGACCCCCAGCTACCCTCAATGTGGGAGAACCTAAAGCCCCTTAAGGAGAGACCCCCGATTTCCTCAGGCTCAAAGGTCCCGAGTTCTCTCAAGCTGCGCCTTCTACATCCCTTCAGCCAAAAGACGCCAGATACCATCAGCCTGAGGGACCCTGAATCCCCTCGGGTCTGGGGAACCCCAATTCCCTTAGCCGGTGACCCAAATCTCCTCAGGCTGAGTGATCTGTCCCTTAGACATAGAACGCACGTTTTGCCCAGATTTTTCCGGAGTCCCCATGTGGAGATCCCCAAAGCCCTTCCTGGAGAAATGGTCCCTGTCCCTCGCTGGAAGAGAGCCCTGGTTGTCAACCTGACCCCAGCCCAGCAGTCCGGGGCTTCCAGGTCCCCTCAGGACTCCCTCAGGCACCCACAGACACAGCCCTCCCAGTGCCTTTCCTCAGAGGGGCCGAGTTGCAGGGGGACCAAAGAAACCGAATCTAGTTCACGTTAGGCTGGACTGTCGTGGCTGGCGAGGATCCGTCCACCGCATCGATACCCTCCACATCCTCTAATCCTTGCTGGGGTCCTCACACCTTCCTGCGCGGGACACCCCAGCCGAGGAACACAGACCTAGCTCTGGGCAGGGGCCTGGGCTACCTCAGCACTTTCTCCTTCCACAGGCACCTTGGCCTTGAGGCGGTCCCAGGCCCATGAGCACCGACAGGTGGCCGGAGGACAGCACTGAGGGAGATGCTGGGAGAGCAGCGTGGACGCCCACGGTGAGCAGCGGAGGAGGCAGAGCCTGGCTCTGAGCCGGCTCTACAGGAGGGTCAAGGAGCTGGTGCCTGGAGGGCCACAGACTCCTGGCCTGCACCGCTGGGTGACCTTCTCTGTGAGGGTACACAGGATGGGGGTGCCTGGTCCTAAGATGGTGGGGTGGGGCGGGGCGGGGGGGGGTTCCTTAGAGGTGAGTTTTATTCTACTGAGAGTAAAATGATGGTTCCCCTGAAAATCTGAGCAGCACTGATTGCCAGACATGGGCATAATGTCAAAAAACATATTTTGAGATAGGTATGTAAATATATGTGAACTTCACTCCCTGGTAATTTTTGTCTTTTCATGCAGAACAATTAACTGTCACTGCCCCAGGGAAGTGCACATCTAATTGTTTCTCTGTGAATAGGATAAAGTTACTCTTTCTTCCACCACTTCTCTTATAAAAGTTTACATGGCAGTTTCTAGATTGTATTCTCCTTACGTCTAAGTTTACTCACTATTTTATATATATATATATATATATTTTTTTCCTTTAGCAGGAAATTATATAATTAAATATAATCAAGCTTGTTAGTGTCAAAGAAGGACAGAATGGGTGATAAAAGGTAAAACAGGTCTGGAAGGTTAAGATAATTGTTGTTTTATTCCACCTAAGTAATGGCAGAACAAAGTGTAATGAACGGGGCGGGGGGGGGGGGGGGGGGACAGGGCACTATAGCATCGTCAACTGCTGTGTGCCCAGGAAGAGTTAGGAAAATGCTCAGTGTTTGCTCAGTTAAGCAGGACAGAGTCAGGAAGGAAAGTCTTCACCCTTGTCTCACTGAGACCACCCAGCGGCCTCAGGCTACACCCTGCACAAGGTAGAGGAGAGGGCCCAGCTCTAAGTTCTGACTTGGATTAGTAAAGCCACTGATGAAATCTGTTATTCTCTCTAGGCCAGAGATGCTTTCAAAGGCATTTCCATATACTTCTCCAAGGAAGAATGGACAGAGATGGGAGAATGGGAAAAAATCCGATACAGGAATGTGAAAAAGAACTATGAAGCACTCATTACTCTAGGTAACGGGAAATGCTGGGTGCCTGGGAGCCTGCGAAGCGTGAACCAGGCCTTCGGTCTCAGTGTTGGCTTGGCTCTCTCTGAGGTGGCTTCATCTGCTCACAGTTGCCTTCTGTGTGGAGACTAACCTGCAGGAAATTTGTGTTCTTTTGTATTCAGTGTGGGCCTGGCCCTGGCAACGCAGAGCTCACCTCTTGCCTTGTTCCCGACTCTCCCAGCCCATCCTACCAAGTCACACTGACTTTGTGGCACTTTCCATTGCCTCTGGGCTTTGTTCCTCCTTCCAGCTCTTCCCTTTTGGAACCAAGATTTTGCTTCTTTCCAGGTCTCAGAGCCCCTCGGCCAGCTTTCATGTGTCGCCGCAGGCAGGCCATCAAAGCCCAGGTGGGTGACCCTGAGGATTCTGATGAAGAATGGACTCCAAGGCAGCAAGGTGAGGGGGCCAGGAAGATTTAGAGGTGTCTTCCTGAAAACAACCTGGGTTTGGGTCTCAGCTGCGTCTCAGGCATTAGCAAAAAAAAAAAAAAAACAAAAAAAAAACCCATAATTTTTCACCAAACAAGCAAGATGCAAAACAGAATATTCTACAGTAAGAGACTATCCATATAAAGTTTTTAAATATGTAAAATAATTAGCCTCCCCTTCTCGGCCATCCGACGTGCGGTTGACTCTGCTCCTCACCATGTCTTCTCACAAGACTTTCACGATCAAGCGATTCCTTGGCCAGAAACAAAAGGAGAATCGTCCCATTCCCCAGTGGACTCAAATGAAAACTGGTAATAAAACCAGGTACAGCTCCAAGAGAAGACACTGGAGAAGAACTAAGCTGGGTCTATAGGGAGCCACCCATGAGGTGGCCCACGTATTTATGCTGTGGAAGGTCACTTGCATCTTACCATATCACTCTGAAGACATCACTACTATCTGGACAGATGCATCCATTTGTTTTATTGGGAAAAAAATGATTTTTCTCCTTGTGTCAGTGTTTCTGCATTAGTGCTTTGGCTCAGTAATAAATATGACACCTTTTGTTGGAAAATATATATATATATATATATATATATATAGTTTATAGGTACATTAAAAGGCCATAAATGTATAAAAAATTGAATGTGAATAAGAAGTACCAAATTCATCACCAAAGGAGTAAGGGCTGGCAGGTGGCTTCATTGTGTCTTGGTTAGTTTTTTGTTTGTTTTTATTTTGTTTTTGAATTTTGAAATAGAAATTAAAAGACCCGCAGTGGTTGTGGCAGAATGGTGACATAAGACTGAATGGAGGTGGATGTATAGGTTTTCCAGTATAATTCTCAATAGTTTTCTCTTTTTTTTTTTTTTTTCTGCATAGCACAGGGAGATCAGCTTGGTGCTTTGTGACCACCTAGAGGGGTGGGATAGGGAGGGTGGGAGGGAGTCTCAAGACGGAGGGGATATGGGGATGTATGTGTGCATGTGGCTGATTGACTTTGCTGTGTGACAAAGGCTAGTGCAGTATTGTGAAGCAGTTATACTCCAATAAAGACCTATTAAAAATAAATAAAAGGGAAAAAAATAAATAAATAAACAAACTCAGATCCAAAGAAAGACTGTGGTTGGTGGGTAAAACATGAAACGAGCAGCCATTTCCCCAGTTGTGTGTAGTATTATTATTATTGTTATTATTATTATTTTGGCTGCGTTGGGTCTTCGTTGCTGCGTGCGGGGTTTCTCTAATTGCGGCGAGAGGGGGCTACTCTTCTTTGCAGTGCGTGGGCTCCTCGTTGCAGTGGCTTCTCTTGTCGTGGAACACAGGCTCTAGGCGCGCGGGCTTTGGTAGTTTCAGCGTGCGGGCTCAGTAGTTGTGGCGCACGAGCTTAGTTGCTCTGCGGCATGTGGGATCTTCCCGGACCAGGGCTCGAACCCGTGTCCCCTGCCTTGGCAGGTGGATTCTTAACCACTGCGCCACCAGGGAAGTCCCGAGTGCATAGGAAGATGTTTGAGTGTTGATTTCGTATCCTGCAACTTTGCTAAATTCTTTTTTTAGTTCTAACAGTGTTTTCTGTGGAATATTAGAGATTTTCTACACATAAAATCATGTCATCTGTGAACAAACCTAATTTTACTTCCTTCTTTCCAAATTGCAAGCCTTTTGATTCCTTTTCTTATCTAATTCCCTGGCTAGGACTTCTAGTACTATGTTAAATAGAAGTGGTGAGAGTGGGCATCCTTTCCTTTTTTTCTTGATCTTAGAAGAGATCACTTTTCCCACCAATGAGTATGATGTTAGAGGTGGACTCTTCATATATGACCTTTATTATATTGAGGTAACTTCCTTCTATTCCTACTTTGTTGAGTATTTTTGTCATGAAGTAAATTTATTAGATACTTTATGAACATAGGATAAAGCACAGATGAGGTTTTGTGTATTTTTTTTAATCTTAAGAAAACTATGTGATGCTCCCAGTGGAAGCGTAGGCACTGATGATACAGAAATCATTTTCCATTCCCCCTTTGGTAATCCTTGCACTTGTCACTCTCTGGTTCAGAATTCTGTGTCCTTAATTCAGATGCCCAGAGTTTGGAAACATTTACCAACCAAACCACTGATTTCTCATCATCTTTTAGTTAAACCTTCTTGGGGGGCCTTCAGAGTGGAGCACAGTAAACACCAGAAGGTAAGTATTTCCCAAATCCTGTTGACAAGAAAACCTTCCTCATGGATCCAATCACAGGTAAGAATAGGAGAATACACAGAATATCCTAGAAACTGCTGCTTCCTTTCATGATTCTTTAGCACAATGTCTGATAGCATCATCATTTTTATAGTTAATAAGAATAGCAACAGTAGTAGTTTGTTCTATTTTCACGTTATTTTCATAATATTTCAGACTCTATTTTAAGCATTTTACATGAATAAACTCACTTTAAACCTTAAAACAATCCTGTAGTACCTATAGGTAGTGTAACTATCACCATTTATATTGAATAGATCATTTATATTGAATAGATCAAGAAACTGAGGTAAAGAAATGTTTGAGTATATGCCTGAGATCACAGTATCACTGGTAGTGCAGTCTCATCCAAAGCTCCTTCTCTGAAACACTTACAAGCTGAGTAGAACTTCCATAGTTTTATAAAGTTTACACTGTCTTATTCATACATACATCTTTATATCATTCACCTGACGGGTGATTTCAACCTCAGTTCTTTTCTGCTACGCCAAAGTGAGTGACATGCTAAGACCATCTGACTAAGGGAAGCTTGCAGATCTGTAGGCAATTTGTAGAGTGGATTGTCCGAGACGAAGGAGATGGACCCCCAACCTCAGAGCGTGTGCTACTCGGATAAGAGGAAGCATCTCCCAGCCCTGACTACCTTCAAGTTTGATCATTGAAAACGACAAATAAGAAAATAACTTTAGGACTTCACCTAGGTTACCCGCGTTTCAACAGAAACTCATCCCTCTGGAACTGATTTCAAATGCTCATTCTTGCAGGAGAAAGTAACAGCTCCTTCCTCCGGGCTCTAATTAGGCAACTGTCATGTTTGGAATCATTTGCTTAGCCTGCCCCTGCGTTGCAAGCTTTGAGAGCCTGCTCCATACCCGCTTCTTCTCAGAAGTCCCAGGCGCAGCTCAAGGCCCCTGAGGGCCCCCTGGAGGTTTTCTGAATGAGTGACTCCACATTTAAACATTCACCTAGAAGTAAGAGGGTCAAGGAGTGCTGAAGATAGTATCTGTGAGCTAGATTTCAAATAGGGAGACAGTTGAGGGGGTGAACTGATAGCAGGGCTGGACTCTCACGTTCACACTGTATTACATATCAGTAGCTCACAAAACAATTTGGTGAACGTTATTAAATTTCATGTTCACTGTAACGCTAAGAATTAGCATGTATACCACTTTATGGTTCAGGAAACTGAGAACTAGCTAGTCGTACAGCCTTATTCAAGCAGAATCGATGGGAACCAGCTACTCTGATTCCAAACATTCTCTCTAGGATATGGCAACCTGCCACTTTCAGCATCATTTTCTTTATTGTCTAGATACGTTTCTGCCATTCTCCTCCCAATCTCACTGCTCTGTCACCTCATTTTCCAGAAGTGTTTTGTCCCCTCTGTACTTTTCCACATTTCCTCATACATCAGAGGTCCACTAATTAATAGAAGACCCCCTCTTTTTTTCTATAAGCCCTTTACCCCCCGCTTCTTTCCCAGACCTTGTTGATTCTTCCCAATTATTCTCCCTGACTCGCTCTCACTTTTACGGAGAAATTTGAGAGAAAGTTGAAGGGAAGGAACCTTAAGATATGGGTTCTAGTCTTGATTCACTACGCACTTAGGCCCTTTATTTACGCTCTAGTGTTCAGACTCCACCCGCCCCGGGTATTTCCAAGGGTTGTTCAAGTATTAACGAAAGTCATGCATGTGAAAACACTTCATAAGCCCTAAAGAACTAAAGAAATGCACGTTGTCTTTTACTATGTGACTCTCCCGTTGAAGGCAGTGCCCCCGGTGCCATTAAGTAATGGATCTAGTTTGAAGAAATTGCCAGGAGCAGCGCAACTGCAGAAGGCAAGTGGCCCTGCACAGGCCCAGAGCCCAGCGCCCCCTCCCGGAGCAGCAAGCACCTCTGCATGGCACACGAGACAAAAGCTGGGTGAGAGAAAATAACTTGGGGGCTTTAGTCCTTCTAATTCTTCTAGAAAGGCTGATTAGTATGGCCTAGGTGTGTGGGGTGGACTTGGGGTAGGCGTGGGTTTAGGCTGGACTGATCTGAGACCTGAAGTTAGCACTGGGGCCTTGGGAAAATCTTACATGTTTTCTGAGGTCCTGATTGCTAATCTCTAAAGTAAACATAAGGATACATAACTCGTATAGTGTTTGAAAACATTAAATTAAACATAAAAGTACGGACACATACACGTTGTTCAAAAATCCATCTGTGATAAGAGTGACCATGCTTTCTTAGTTAAGGCCTCCGCTCAATGCCTAACATTAATGTGCCTTAACCAATATTTTCTGAATGAGTAAATGTGTCAATGAACCATTTTCTAAGTAGAAAGGTTGGGAGGTTAAACCTAATAATGGGAAGAACAGGAAGCTAACGTTGAACTGGGCATCTGTAGTCAGTGTGGAGCCTCGGTCTGTCTGAACCCGTAGTTAAACGGGGGGAAAACAAAGTATACAGAAGGACAGGCGATGATTTGATGGGAGGGGATTTCACATTTTCTGATGAAACAGGGACCAGCACTCCAGACCCCACCAACCTCTGCTTACTTACTCTTCTCCAACTTAGAACGCAGGACAAAGCAGATTGACGTGAAGATGTATAGCCTACGAGAAAGAAAGGGCCACGTGTACCAGGAGGTCAGCGAGCCCCAGGACGACGACTACCTCTGTGAGTGACCCCACTGGCCCATTACAGAGAAGGCTGTTATGTCTTGCTGCAATAAGCTCACCTTAGCATTTGGTCCCCAAATCATCGCCTGTGTCTAGCGGCTTGCAGTACAGGATTGCGGCCAAATGACACGAGCGCCCCGGTTCTTCCTGAAGGTCCTTACAACCAGGGACGCGCGCTGTACCTGCTGAGCCCCTGCTGAGCCCCTGCTGCTCTCTCGCCTCCAGATTGTGAGAAGTGCCAGAACTTCTTCACCGACAGCTGCGCTGCCCACGGGGCCCCCGCATTCGTGAAGGACAGCGCGGCAGAGAAGGGGCGGCCCAACCGCTCAGCCCTCACGCTACCCCCTGGATTAAGTATCAGACCGTCAGGCATCCCTGAGGCTGGGCTTGGAGTATGGAACGAGGCATCCGATCTGCCGTTGGGTCTGCACTTTGGCCCCTATGAGGGCCAGATCACAGAGGATGAAGAGGCTGCCAACAGTGGATACTCCTGGCTGGTGAGAAACACCCACCTCCTCCCCTGTCCTCTGGCCGCCACGTCCCTTCTGTGGATGGGGGGGCCTCACCTTCAACATGCTAGGACGTGCATGGGGCAACGCGGTTAGCTCTGTGCACTGAGTGCCCTTCGCGTGAACACGGAGCTTCTACTTGACGAGCAGAGGCCAGGCGGGAGCACGGGCGGCACAGGCACGGAGAAGCGGCTCCTCCCGCGCGGGGCCCTTGGCCTGAGCACACACACAGACTCAGACACGAGGATGCTGATTAAGGAGCTTATTGTGTGGTCACGGTTGGCAGTTGCATCCATGCCGGCTGAAGAGCACTGATGACAGCAATAATAATTCTATTACCTCCCAGCAAAACAAAACAAAACAAAAGCCTTCAACTTCTTTTTCTGACACTCAGATCACCAAAGGGAGAAACTGCTACGAGTATGTGGATGGAAAGGACACATCCTGGGCCAACTGGATGAGGTAAGTCCAGTACGTTTCCAGGTTCCAGAGAGGACACTCGTCTCTCTCAAGCCCATGTCCCTTTCCTTCTCAGACTGCCCCCCTCAATGGTTTTTACATCTTCTGTCCCTCTTTTTTCTCCATACAATGCTCTTTCATTTCAAGAGACGTCAGAAAAAAGGAAATAAAAATATAGTATGCGTCCTCAAAATACGTCTCTGTGCCCAAGAAAACTGGGGTACTTGAAAACAACTTGAGGAGTCTAGATTCACCAGGGACACTTATTTACCTAATTAACACTTATCAAGCACTTACTATTATGCTCCAGTTTAGAAAACGGAGTCCATTACTTAAAGAGATCACATCACCCATGTCCTTACGGAGGACACACTGCAGACAGACGTTAAGCAATGGATTTTAGGAACATTTAATCATAATTTTCCTATTTTTCAAGAACTGCACAGCTCCACCATAACCTAACGGGAGGGACCTTTAGTCTGTGAGGGCGGCCACCTTCCCAGCCTTGCTTCCAGTGAGAACTGGGTTCTGAAGCCAGGGGACAAATGGACTGCAGGATGGTTGTGAGCAGCCCCTTTCTCTAAGGTCCCCTCCTTTCATCAGGGGAGGCAGAAAGTGAATAAACTACTATTGTTCTGTGTTTTGAGCTAAGTCAGAGAGCTCTCCAAATTTCTACAGGAACCGGGGGGAGGCAAGTGAATCGGGGGCCCTGGATCCACGTGGGGAGACTGGAGACAGGCCTCTCGAGAGAACACAGGCTGGGGCTGAGCTGAGGGATGCGTGCTAAACTGGAAGCACCAAGTTCTGTGGAATAAAAACAGAACTTCATTGAGAGTTTAGAGAAGCCAGAGGTCACCAGTCTTACGGCCAATCCAGGTGGAGACAGGTCTGGAATTGGGCTTTGGAAAACAGATAAGTAGGTAAGGACAGAAAAGCAACCTGTCCTGGATGGGCAACAGCATCTGGAGATAGGGATTCACAGGAGAAGCTCGAAGGCGTGAGCAGCGGGTTCCCGCACAGCAGCAGCGGCAGCTGGGGCAGCACCAGGCAGCGACGGCAAGGAGCTGGCTCGGGTCTGACAGGTGGAGGGAACCCGTGGCCTGCGCTTTCTGCCCCTTTCTCTGCCCCAACCCCAGGTATGTGAACTGCGCCCGGGACGAGGAAGAGCAGAACCTGGTGGCCTTCCAGTACCACAGGCAGATCTTCTACCGAACCTGCCGGGTGGTCAGGCCGGGCTGTGAGCTGCTGGTCTGGTACGGGGACGAGTACAGCCAGGAGCTCGGCATCCGGCGGGGCAGCGGGTGCAGGAGCCAGCTCACGGCGGC